TGGGTGTCCTAAGCACACGTTTCAATGGTTAAGTAATTCAGTACTGACCGTTACTGTTACATATTAATTCCTGGAAAAGGTGTATAAAAGTTACAGTTGTAAAAGTACGTTTGGGACAAACAATGACAGAGGCAAGTGATCAGGAAGAAGACAGAGCACGCAAGTCAGGGAGGGACTCTGTGTTTGCAATTTACAAAAATCTACCTACGATGGGTGGGATCAACTGTCTACAGGAAATTTTTCCAAAAGACTACAGCCTATAGTTTAGCTGTGGATAAATTACTGATGACATTTAAGTACTCCATAGAGGTCTCCAGGAAGCAGCCAACCTCAAACTTGTCAATCTATAAACCTGGGAAATGCAAACATTAAGACAGTCTGGTAAAACAGAAGGGAGGGGAGGTATTATAAGGTCTGCAGCCAAAAGAAGGAAAGCAATTCTTGGAGAATTTATAAAAAAAAGGGAAGTTGACAGTAAGAATTTTTTATTGTGTCCAGGATTGCCCAAGAAAAAGGAGCCTCAGATTTGGGGCATGGATAATTTATTTGGATTAATAGTGCCCTATTTTGAAAGGGCCCAACTGATCCTGCTGCTGTAGTTTAATAATAATATTCCATTAAGATCATCAGACTCTCTTTGCCCAGATTCTATGCCCGCCAATTTATTAACTGACTTCTTAGTACTCTGATATTGGGAATAGGGGCCCCTCACACAGACACAAGGCTCCATTCAGTGTGGCATGTATAATAGTTTAGATAATACATAAATTGTCATCTAGATTATGAATCATGCTCTTATGAATCACAGGATCTCAACATTGAGGATACTTCAAAGACATTTAATTAACCATCCATCTGGTGCTGAAATTTCCCCTATAACGTAGCTGGGGAGGAGTCATTCATTTTTCCTTAAGCATCTCAAATAACAGGAAACTCATTACCTCTTCAGTTCTCTGAACACCTGTGTTAGAAAATTCTGCTTTATATTGAACAAAAATGCGTTACTACTTTAGAGCCCTCAGTCTTAGGTTGACCTCTTGGGACCATATACAAAACAAACTAAACCTCAAAAACAAAAAACAAAAAACAAAAAACAACCCAACACCCAAACATAGATAAGCTCATGTTCTGGACAAACCTCTTTTCCATGGCCAAATTCCCTAAATCCTTTAACACCTCCTAATATAAGATGGTTTCAAATCATTACATCATCCTGGTTACCCTCCCAAGGACAGGCTTTCGTTTCTCTTTTAAGGTGTGGTCATGGGCATGGTCGAGTGTTTTTGTAAAATTTGCAAAAGTAAGATATTTTTATCACACGTGGTTGAGATGATGGCCTCTTTCTTCTCCTCCTTCCCCTCTGTCATACTTCCTCTCATGTCAAGCCACACTGGAATGGCCATGAGCATTTCTGGATAGAGCTAAGGGGAAGTTGTGTTGGTGGTATATTTAGTTTGAGTTTAGGAGAATATATATCATGTGGTTCACTGATACTTTCATATATAGTTAACTGATTGCTAGCTGTCATAGTGTAGGAATGGCTTCCAGGAATACCCTTACCACCCACTGTGCTAATTTCACGGAGCATTGTGACACTAAGTTGCAGGTATGTTAGAAAGCTAATGAAAGTGTTATATTTATGAGCTTTGTGATATTGAAGATATTTATCAGCTTTTTAAAATACAAAATGTGCTATGCATTGAATTATACCCTTACAATGAGGAAATTTTATGGTATGTAAAGTATACCTCAATAAAGCTGTTAAAAATGTGCTATGATTTCTTTTCTTATTTTAAATATTCACTTTTGTAATAAAGTGAGCCTGGGTGGCTCAGTTGGTTAAGTGTCTACCTTTGGTGCAGGTCATGATCCCTGGGATTGAGTCCCACATCAGGGTCCCTGCTCAGCGGGAGTCTGCTCTGCCTCTCCCCACTGGTTGTGCTCTTGCTTACTCTCTCTCTCAAATAAATAAAATCTTAAAAATAGGGTGAAATGTTGAAAGAATCCCCTTTGAGACCGGGAATTAGATAAGGAGATCACTATTATTATCTTTGCTCAACATTGTATTGGAAGTTCTAGTGAGTGCAGCAAGCGAAAAAAAAAAGAAAGAAAGAAAGAAAGAAAGGAAAAAGAACTAAAAGATATAAGAATCAGGAAGGTAGACATAAAACTGTAATAACTGTAATACCAAAAGTATGACTTAGTTTATAAAAATCCAAAACATTAAATACAAAATTATTATTAGAATTAATAAATAAGTTTAGCAACCTTGCTGGATATAAAAATCAATATGTAAAAATAAGTTGCCCTTTAATGTAATAGCCACAATTAAAAATTAAAAAGGTATAATTTACAATCCTATAAAAAATATAAAGTACTGAGCAACAAATGTAACAAAGGAGGTGCAAGGGGAAGTTGAATCCAAAACTTACATAAAAGTTCAAAAGGTCAAGAATAGCCAAAACATTCTTAAAGAACAAGGTGGGGAAACTTGCCCTGTCATATGTCAAGATTTATTATAAAACCATAGGAATTGGGGCGCCTGGGTGGCTCAGTCGTTAAGTGTCTGCCTTCGGCTCAGGTCATGATCCCAGGGTCCTGGGAATGAGCCCCCATTGGACTCCCTGCTCAGCGGGAAGCCTGCTTCTCCCTCTCCCACTCCCCCTGCTTGTGTTCCCTCTTTCGCTGTCTCTTTCTGTCAAAAAAAAAAAATCTTTAAAAAAAAAAAAAAAACCATAGGAATTCAGACTGTGGCATGGGGTGAGCTGAATAGAGTTCAAGAATAAACCCACCTGTATATAGAACTGACACTTTAGATCAGCGAAGAAAGTGTACTTTTCAAAAATGGTGCTGGCACAATTAGTTTTCCATATGGAAAAATAGTAAATTGGGCCCCTACCTCACACCATACTTAAAAACATCAACTCCAGATAAGAGTCAATGTGAGAGTCAAATGTGAGAGGCAAAAATATAAAACTTAGAAGAAAATGTAAAAGAATATCTTGATCTCTGGGTATTAAAGGATTTCTAAAAGAAGACACAAAAAATGTATAAATTACAAAAGAAAAAACTCATAAATCAGAATACATGAAAATTAAGAACTTTGTTTATCAGGAAACATTGTTGAGAGGATGATAACACAGCCATAAATGTAACCAATCAAGGATTAATATCAGATTCTAAAGAGAACTCAACTCTATAAACATAGAAAAATAAAACAATAGAAATATAGGTCAAAAGCTAAAAGTCACTTCTCAAAAGAGAAAATTCAAAGGGTCAATGGTTGAGTTAAAAGATGCTCAACCTCTGGTGCCTGGGTGGCTCAGTGGGTTAAGCATCTGCCTTCGGCTTAGGTCATGATCCCAGGGTCCTGGAATTGAGCCCCGCATTGGGTTCCTTGCTCAGTGGGGAGCCTGCTTCTCCCTCTACCTGCAGCTCCCCCTGCTTGTGTTCCCTCTCTCTCACTCTCTGTCAAATAAATAAATAAATAAATAAATAAATAAATAAATAAAATCTTTATTAAGAAAAAAGATGCTCAACCTCATTAGTAATCAGGGAAATGAAAATTAAAATCACAACAAAGTATTTTATACTCACTGGAATCATAAAAATAAAAATGTCTAATAAGAAATACCAAGTGTTGGTAAGCACGTGGAGGAAGTGGAATGTTTATCCATGGCTCATTGGATTATACATTTATGTGAGCACTTTGGAAAAAGGTTTGGCATTATGTAGTAAGGTTGAACATGTGCAAATCCCAGGACCCAGGAGTTTCACTCCAGGGTATACTCTAGAGTAACTGTAGCATATATACATCATTTTATCAACATTATTCTGTCATCATCCAACACAATATTGAGTGAAAGAAGCAAATCCCAGGAGCGTATATACATACAAATAACTAGGTTCTATTTATTAAAAAGTTCAAAAACAGGAAAAATGAAACAATACAGTATATTGTTTAGGGATGCATACAGTTAGTAAACCAATGAAGAAAAGCAAGGCAATAATTACCCCAAATTTTAAGGTAGTGGTTACATCTGATGGGGAAGGGAGAGAGGAATAAGGGAGTTGTAATCAGAGAGGGACATACAGAGGGTTTTAAGATGCTGGAAATAAATATTCTGGTTTTTTTAACCTGGGTAGTGAGTACATAAATAATCATTCCTTAAAATTATTCTTTTACATACATATATATGTTTTATGCATGCTTTTGTGTTTGATATATTTCACCATTTTAGAAAAGGAAAAAAAAATCAGTGCCCAGAACTGAACACACAACTCCAGTTAATCCATACTAGAAAACCATCACCTCTCTATTTTGAGTATTCTGTCTCTGTTTTTTTTTTTTAAGATTATTTATTTTGAGAGAGAGAGAGAGAGAGAATGCTCATGGGCTCACACTCACAGGGGGAGGGGCAGAGGGAGAGAGAATCCTCAAGCAGACTCCCCGCTGAGTGTGGAGCCTAAGGCAGGCTCGATCCCAGGACCCCGAGATCACGACCTGAGCCGAAATCAAGAGTTGGACGCTTAACTGACGGAGCCACCCAGGTGCCGCCCTGTCTCTGTTTTTTCGAACTGAGGTGTACTTTTATATCTCCTAAATTTTCTCTTATTTATTTAGCCATTTTTTCCCCTTGTCCTCCCAGCCAGTCAAGCTCTCCCCAGAGCCAGATCATCCTCCAGGAGAACATATAGAGCGACATTTCTGAGCTAGCCAGGCTGAGGTCCAAGTCGCAGTGGGCAGCTGCGGCAACTCTTCCGAAAGCCCACCTGCAAGCTTAACGTGCTTGCTTCCTCTCCTGCTTCTCCTGAGGTCATCTGTTTATAGCCCTAGCCTTTAGTGAGCAACCGTAGCAAATGTCTTATCAAGGCAAGCAATGCCTCACATTAGGTCATGTTGATAAGATGATGAAAGAATATTCTCACTCAAGAAGATTGCTATTTCCTGAAGGGATAAAACCCCACCAGGGAAAACCCCTGTGGTTGTCATAGGTAGGGCTGGTCTCCTCAAGCTGATAACATAGTTCCGACCAGAGGAGGAAGGCTGAATGCACTTACTTCATTGCTTGAAGCTTTCTGGGTAATTGTGCATCTTTCATATCTTAAAGACTCACATACTCTGAGCTAGACAGAGGTCCCGACCCTGAAGAACCTCTCCAGAATCCAGGTTGCTGAATCTTCCCTGCTGCCTAGAGAGACTCCAAACCACCTTTTGGCAATGGGCAACTGGGTGGTTAACCACTGGTTCTCAGTTTTGTTTCTGGTAAGTAATGTTTCACTATCTATTAATTACTCCTAACAGAGTAAGGACAGATTATGTTTGTTAATATTTCTTTTTTAAAAGATTTTATTTATTTATTTGACAGCGAGAGAGCACCAGTGGGGTGCAGGGTAGAGGGAGAAGGAAACTCCCTGCTGAGCGGGGAGCCGGATGCGGGGCTCCATCCTGGGACTCCGGGGTCATGACCTGTGCTGAAGGCAGATGCTTAACCGACTGAGCCACCCAGACACCCTGTTTGTTAATATTTCTAAAGTTATTTGAAATGGAACTATTCCATGCCAAGATTGGGCCCATTGAGGCCAGTTATCAGTTAAAAAGCCCAACTCTAAGATTACACGTGTTTTATAAAATCTTCTGTGTATGATGTATTTCACCATTTTAGAAAAGAGGAAAAAAATCCAACTCCAGAAATTGGTTGGTAAAGAGACAAATGATATAAACCACAAGTATTTGGAATTTCAATGTTTCCTTTTCCATCTTTTTTCTCTTCCATCTCACTTCTAACTACTGCCATGCAGCCTTCATTTCTCTTCATCCTTTCTGTACCACCAAAGGCAAGATTTCATAAAATCATCGAATGTCTGAGATAGAAATACTCCTGGAGATCATGGCCCAGTGCTGTCCATTTTAGAAATGTAATGTGAGCTACATATGTAATTAAAAATTTTTCTAGTACTTACATTGAAAAAGGTAAGAAGAAATAAGTGATATTAATGTCTAGTAATTTTTTTAGTCTAACCCAATATATCAGTAATGTTATCCTTTTGGGGCGCCTGGATGGCTCAGTCTGTTAAGCATCTGCCTACGGCTCAGGTCATGATCCCGGGGTCCTGGGATGGAGCCCCACATCGGGCTCCTTGCTCAGTGGGGAGCCTGCTTCTCCCTCTCCCTCTGCCTGCTGCTCCCCCTGCTTGTGCGCTCTCTCTCTCTCTGACAAACAAATAAATAAAAAATCTTTAAAAAATGTTATCCTTTCAACATGTAATCAATATTGAAAATATTAACAAGATGAGGGTGGGCAGTGCTCTTTTTCTAAAACTAATATGCCTTACATGTTTGGCTTATGCACTTTGCTGTAATTCACTGTGTATTTGGGTGTGATGTGGTTTACTTTTCTACCATATTTGTAATTTTATGTGTTCCAACTCCTTTGTGTGAATTCACGTATTATAGCAAAATACAAGGGAAATGGGACTAATTTGCAATGTCATATGGGAAATCTTTTAATAAATATATGTAAATAAAATACAAAATATTTGTCCCCATCTCCTCCCCCAGAGCAACGGCAAGATATATTTTGTTAGATATTTAATTTTTAATGTTTTCTATAATTTAAAAATGTATAGCTTCCCATAATTATTATTTTCTTAACCATGATACTACAGCTTTCCTAATTAGTTTTTTTTAAAGATTTTATTTATTTATTTGACAGAGAGAGAGAGAGCACAAGCAGGGGGAGCAGCAAAGGGAGTGGGAGAAGCAGGCAACCCCAATGAGCAGGGAGCCCGACTTGGGACTCGATCCCAGGACCCTGGGATCATGACCTGAGCCGAAGGCAGACGCTTAACCGACTGAGCCACCCAGGTGCCCCAATTTTCCTAATTAGTTTTATCTTAAAATACTGAATGTCCTGACCTTTTATAGATGTTTTTAATTTGTTTTAAGTAATTTTAGTCTTTTTTTATGTTCAATTAGCCAATATACAATAAATTATGCTTGACATAGAGTTTCCAATAAATTTTCCAGTCAAAAAAATATTTAAAAAAAGACAAAAGAAAATAATAATGAGATCATTTTTTTTTTTAGATTTTATTTATTTATTTGAGAGAGAGAATGAGAGACAGAGAGCATGAGAGGGAGGAGGGTCAGAGGGCGAAGCAGACTCCCCGCCGAGCAGGGAGCCCGATGCGGGACTCGATCCCTGGACTCCAGGATCATGACCTGAGCCGAAGGCAGTCGCTTAACCAACTGAGCCACCCAGGCGTCCCAATAATGAGATCATTTAATGTCTTTTATTTTTACTAAGTTTTTGAAACCTGATATGTATTTTGCACTTACAGCATATCTAAATTAGGACTAGCCACATTCCCAGTGATCGCAGGTGGGTCGTGGCTAATGGCATTGCCTAGTGCAGCTACAAACCAGCGCCTTTATTTTTTACAAGGGAAAATAAGACCCATTTGTCACACAGTGAATGGATGCAGAGCCATCACTCAAACCCAACTTCCCAGTGTTCAGGCCAGAAATTGTTTACTGTGCACACCACGTATGCACAACCCCCTTCTCCTCACACACACACACACACACACACACACACACACCCATCCCCACTCTTTCTTCCATTTCTGGGCCACCCCAGAGCTTGGAACTCCCTTTGTCCTTTCTCACATTCCTAGATCTTCATGTCATCACCCCTTCTGGGGTCATCTCTTTTCTTCCACTTTTTCCTTTCAGTCCCCTAGGACGACCCAGGTGCTCGAGGGAAAAAGGCGTGAGGAGCAATCAAACTTCCCTGGAGGGTTGTTTGTTTTGCATTTAACAAAAGGCCAAGTGCTTATTTTGGCAGGTTACCCTATGCTTTATATTTTCCACGCTCAATGCTGTATATTTAATTTCTTTTGCACTAGTTTAGGAGACAGGGAACCTGGGAATGAGTTTCACTTCTGCTGTTAATTGAGGGATCTTGATCAGATTATTTATTTTCTCTGGACTTCACGTCACCTGCGTGTGTGTGTGTGAGATAAATTAAATAACTAGATTAGATACAAATATAAGCCTGCTTCTACTTCTAAAATCCTCTGCATTTTGTATCCCTCTCTTAGTTTTTGCTCAGACAGTTCATCACCCATTATGGTGACTCACATTTAACTATGTAGCTTTGAATTTCCACCCCCTACCAATCCTGCTGGCAGGCTCAGACTTCTTGCTATCTCTGACATATACTCTTATACACTGTTTTTTTTTTTTTTTTAAGATTTTATTTATTTGAGAGAGAGAGAGAAAGAAAGAGAGAGAGCATGAGCCGGGGGAAGTGGAGGGACAGAGGGAGAGGGAGAAGCGGACTCCCCGCAGAGCAAAAAGCCTGACCTGGGGCTCGATCCCAGGACTCTGGGATCATGACCTGAGCCGAAGGCAGAGGCTCAACCGACTGAGCCACCCACGCGCCCCGCACTGTTTTTTTTTAAAAGGACTTATTTATTTATTTGTGCGAGAGAGCATGCAGGGAGGCAGGGCAGAGGGAGAGGGAGAGAGAGAGAGAGAAACTCTAGCAGACTCCAAGCTGAGCAGGAAGCTGGTCTCATGGCTTGATCTCATGACTCCGAAATCGCGACCTGAGCCAAAACCAAGAGTCAGCCCTTAACCGACTGCATCACCAGGCACTATTTTTTTAAAATAAAAAATAAATTATTCAGAAAACATTCTTACTCCTCCTCTTGCCAGGTCTTCTACTTCACTTTCCACCCATAATGTAGGAAATGATAGTGAGGGTGGGAAATGGAATTCCTTACTCCCAGATGTCACTCTATTCACCTGGCCCACAGTTGGTGATGGTCTGATGCAGAGACAAAGAACTCTTGGATCCTAAAATAGTTCTGCTCTCTCTAAAGAAACTTCTCTGTCTTCTGAACTCTTGAGGTATCTGTGGTTCTCACCTCTCTTTTTCTGTTAGGATCAAAGAATCTCTGAAAGACACTCAAGTCCAGAAATGGTGTCTGAGCAAAGGATGCAGGAAGAAATGGACTAGGGAAGCCTGGTAATAACCCAAATTGCTCCTACTATGTACCTATAATGTACCAACCATTGTATTAATCACTCCGCATGTGTTATTTCATGTAAGCCTCACAGTATTGCTGTGAGGGTAGATAGCATTATTCTCTTCACTTTATAGAAGACTCCAAGGCTTAGAGAAGTTAAATCACATGTTGTCTAAGATTACAGAGTTAGAAAGTGGTGAGGCTAGAAGTTGAACCCAAGGAGTTTGACTCCAATATCACTTGAAATAACTATGCTATGCTGCTGGAGGTATGTGAGTGGTCCATATCTAGGGAATCTGAATGGGCCATGTCCTAAGCTAAAGGCTCTCTACTTGTGGGGCTGAGATGGTTCTGATCCATCCTGGGGCCAACAATATATATTAAGGGCATCCCAGTGCCCTAGAGTCCTGCTCCGTTACAAACGAGCACCTCAAAGCTTGGGCTAGAGCTGCATTGGTTGGTCTCCAAGGCAATGCGGCAGTGGGTTCCAAGTTCCCCCTTTGCCCACAGAGACAGAGCCTGGGATAGACAAAAGCAGTCTTAAGAGCTCAAATGAGTCCAGGACAATGACAGGTTAATTTGAAAAGAGACTCACAATCTGAAAACAGGAAAATGTGTGTCAGGGAGTAATTAAAGAGGCAGGCCCATCTGGAATGGTTTAGTCCTTTTCAAATGGGTATTGTTATAGATGTTAAATTTATTCTTTGTTTCTTTAGAAATCCATTTATTCACTTATTGCCATCTTTTGGTTGCAATAGTTCGAATGCTACCAGTCCAGAAGTTGGCAAATGTTTTCTGTAAAGGGCTAGGTAGTACATATTTTAGGCTTTGCAGACCCTATGGTCTCTGTCACAGCTACTCACTGCCTCCATCGAATTATGGAAGCAGCCATAAACAAGATAAGAATAAGTAGGCATGGCTAAGTTCCAATACCACTTTATTTATGGACACTGAGATTAGAATTTCATATAATTGTCACGTCATGAAATATTATTCTTCTTTTAATTTTTCCAACCACTTAAACGTGTGAAAACAGGGGTGCCTGGGTGGCTCAGTTGGTTAGACATCTGCCTTCAGCTTGGGTCATGATCCCAGGGTCCTGGGATCGAGTCCCACATTGGTCTCCCTGTTTGTTGGGGAGCCTGCTTCTCTCTCTCCCTCTGCCCCCTGCTCCCCCTGCTTGTGCTCTCTGTGTGTCTAATAAATAAATAAAATCTTAAAAAAATAACATGTGAAAACAAACAAAAAAGTAAAAACCATTCTTAATTTGTAGGCTGTACAAAATAAACGGTGAGCTAGATTTGGCCCATGGGCCTTGATTTGTTGACCCTGGTCTAATGAATGCATGTCTTGAAGTGCTAACTCTCTCTGAAAGTAAGTTAGATACTAGAGGGATTGTACTCATTTAAAATGAAAACAGGTAAACACAAAATCGCCAAAATGGTGACACTATTTCCTATCCCTTACCTATTCCTTCCCATACCCAAATTTTACTTGAGTCTTTGCTTGTTTTTTTTTAAATTTTTTTATTGTTATGTTAATCACCATACATTACATCATTAGTTTTTGATGTAGTGTTCCATGATTCATTGTTTGCGTATAACACCCAGTGCTCCATGCAGAACGTGCCCTCTTTAATACCCATCACCGGGCTAACCCATCCCCCACCCAAAACCCTCAGTTTGTTTCTCAGAGCCCATAGTCTCTCATGGTTCGTCTCCCCCTCCGATTTTCCCCCCTTCATTCTTCCCCTCCTGCTATCTTCTTCTTCTTTTTTTTTTTTAACATATATTGTATTATTTGTTTCGGAGGTACTTGTTTTTTATTTCCTCCAGGCTACTTGGTTGGGGCTGAACGTTTTCCTCTTTGTGCATGCCTTCCTGTCATATGAGAAAGCCGATAAGTACTACTACACAAGAGAAATCCTGGGGGTGAGTATCACAGTTGTGATATGGAGAATCTCTGTTTGTTGTTGATGTTGTTGTTGTTGTTTGTGACTTTGGTTCCTTTGAGACCCAATGCCCTGATTTCCTCTAGGGTTAGGGTTCCCAGAAAAAAAAACAGGATACCCAGTTGAATTTTTTTTAGAGATTTTGTTTATTTATTTGAGAGAGAGAGTGAGTGAGAGAGAGAATGAGCTGGGTGAGGAGCAGAGGGAGAGAGAGAAGCCCAGGGAGGAGGGAGCACGAGGGGGGTGGGGAGGCTTGATCCTGGGACCCCAGGATCATGACCTGAGCTGAAGACAGATGCTTAAATGACTGAGCCACCCAAGAGACCCCCCCCAACCCCGCTTAAATTTGAATTCCAGAAAAATCATTTTTTTGGTATATTTTGAATATTGCATGGGACATAGGTATGCTAAAAAAAATTACTCACTTTTTAAAATCTGAAGTTCAAATTTATCTGGGCATCTGGTATTTTTGTTCACTAAATCTGACAGCCCTATCTAGGGCACACTCCCCAGACCCAATGATAAAAACACACAGTAAAGAAAACTATTAAGCAGTCATTTTCAAATGACTCAAGGACTCCTATAGGGTGTGAGGGGAAAGCTAACTGGGTAGCACTCCTGCCCCTGCCCCTACTTCAACCAAAGCAGCCTTTACCTGTCTTTTTTAAAGATTTTATTTATTTATTTTTGTGAGAGAGAGAGAGAGTGCGCACGAGTGGGACGGAGGAGCAGAGGGAGAAGCAGGCTCCCTGCAGGGAGCCTGACATGGGACTCGATTCCAAGACCCTGAGATCATGACCTGAGCTGAAAGCAGACACTTAACCGACTGAGCCACCCAGGTGCCCCTCAGCCTTTATCAGTCTTATGGACTCCTGCTTATGATTTCCAGAAAGAGTTTGGTTTATAACAAGTAAACAAACAACTTGAAAGCCACCGCTGTGGACTGATCTCACAGAAAAACACCTCTCCATCAAATAAGAGGGATACTTAGAGGGTCTGTGGGGTGAGGGGCGCAGCAGAACTCAAGGCCTGAAGAAAGGCAGGGGTCGGGTGAGAATAACAGGACAGAGAAGGCTGTAGAAGCAGTAGGTAAAGAACAGAAGAGGGAGGGTGGGGGCCGGATAGGGTACGTCAATGTTTAGGTGACCAGAGTTAGAAGCATGGAGGTGAGAATGATTCTCTCACAGGCTCATCAGTCTGGCCACTATCTGATTAGAAAAGCAAATCTAACTGCTAACTCTAGTGAGTTTTTCAGTAGCAGGGAAAGGATTTGGTTAAATCACTTTCATCTTGATGAGATCATTGGCTTTCCACAAAGACCCATCCGATGTACATGTTTAAAGACAGCTTGTCCTTTTAAAAAAATCCTTCTTTTCTCTCTATAATCAAAGGATCCATGTTGAGATCACAACCAATTTGAATGTTCTGTTCATGGCTTATTTCACCCTGCTGTTTTCCATTTTAAATGTTGGTCCTTGATCCTCCTTTGGAAACTCTAAACTCCAAAGGAAGTGTTAATTTATTTTAAAAATAGCTTTTTAGTAAGAGAATGATGCAATAAATGTGACTTGTTATTAAGAGCTTAATTGCTTTATGACCAAAATGTCAGCAGCAGAAAAATGAATCATGCTGATATCCTGTGGACATTTCATTCACTTCGTTTTTTAAAAACACTTAATGATAAATACTGCTACTTTCCGTGATAGCAAATGATACAGAAGTGTATAAGTAAAAATGTGAAAATTGCCCTCCCATCCATTCCCCAGAGATAACCACTGTTAATAGTCTGTGTGTGTGTTTGTGTAGATGCACTGACTTAATTAAGCTCATGAATGCATCGACATATAGGTTTTGTTTTTGAGGTAGGTACCATTCTTACTCACTTTTTAATTTCCTGTATACAGTAAAATTCGCTCTTTTTTTCTGGTGTATGCACCATTCTATGAATTTGGATAAACACATAAAGTAGCAAAGAGGTTTTTTTGCCATTGTTTTGTTTTGTTTGGGGTTTTTTTTGAGTTTTGTTTTGTTTTCACCAAAAAAGGGATCACATCGTAGATATTGGCTGGAAATTGCTTCTTACACTTAATGTATTTCAGATAGCTTTCCATGTGAGTACGTAACTAGTGATGTGCTGGAACTAGCTCATATCAGCTTGCAATAGCCACTTATGTGCATCTCTTCCCAGCCCTATATTCAATGGTGTTCAATGACATCAAATTGGTATCTTGAAATCTGCCACGGCGGGGGTATTGACATCATGTAAATTGGCAAAGGCTGGAAACCAATCTCCCCTCTTCCCCTGAAAGCTGGTTCTTAAACGTTTACCACTCCTACTCCCCTGCATATAGCTCTCATCCTTTTAAGAACCTAACCGTCCATGGCATTGATGTGCCATAATTTATTTAATCATTCTGTAGTTATTTCTTGAATTTGTGCTTCCTCTAAGAAAATACAGAGTTATTTGATTCACTATGAAGCAGAGCGAATAAGTAACAGAATAAGCAGTTTAAATCCATAGTCAGTGAGACATTAATGATAGCAGCAGTTGAATTTGAACATCAGGTGGTGTTGATATCAAAAAGTGCACGTAAATTGGGATATTTCGGTGTGCTGCAATGGGGGGAGAAAAGATTCCCTCTAAAAAGAATTGATCCCATACAGATAGCCCCTCCAGAATATGGAACTATGAAAGTGTAGTCCTATGTTTTCCACTCACTTGCCAATTTTAGCTTTAAGAAACCTCTGTGTCTCAAATAAGCAATTCCAATTGCTTATTTGCTTTCCAATGTGGAAAGGCAGGCTCTTTGAGATGCGCAGAGAAAATTTACTCAGAAATGGAACAGGATGTCTCTCTGAAAAACAGTCGGAGTGTGACTCAGCGGAGGGAGAAAACACAGATCATATGGAAGAGCCAGCAATGGAAAACAGTAGGGCGGCTCCTGTTCCCTGCGCTGCCAAACGCGGGAAGCCATTACGGATGTTAGGTGGATCTTGACTTGGCTTGATGTCACATTGCCCTGGGTTTAGGTGTCACATGAAAAAGAGTTTTTGTGCTGAAAAGATTATTAGAAAAATTTAGGGAGAAAAAAAAAAAGAGAGAAAAAAAGAGTTAGAAAAAAAAAGGAGAAATCGTTAACTCTAACCCATATTCTTCCTTTCGGCGAGTCGCTGATGGGCACACATGTGAGGCTGGCCAGTCTCCTTTTCTGGCAACTTCTACTGCTGGATCAGACTGATCTTGGTGTATGCTGCCTGACCACCCAAGGAAATCAGTTTGAAATTCTGTTCTCAGAAGCTCTCCTTTCTCAAATCTTTGCCTGAGTTTAAAATGTTTGCTCTGAGGGGTTCACTAGTTTTGCCTAAGCTGTATTCAATCATTAAAGGCGTCTTAAATATAAATGGTTAAATTTTTTTGTTTGCATGGTTATTACAATGCAATATTTGTAATATTGCTTATAATTATATCTGCTTATAATTGCAACGTTAGAAAATACAGGAAAGAGAAAGTCACTGTCTGTAATTATACTTTAAATATATAAGCTTTATTTAAAATGCAAATAAAAACATACAATCTTCAAGATTGTTTTACAAATGACAATAAAATAATAATTGAGTATATTTTTTAAAGATTTTATTTATTTGTTTGTGAGAGAGAGAGCGAGAGGGAGCATGAGCAGGGGGAGGGGCAGAGGCAGAGGGAGAAGCAGGCTCCCCGCTGAGCAGGGAGCCCGACATAGGGGCTCGATCCCAGGACCCTGAGATCATGACCTGAGCCGAAGGCAGACGCTTAACCAACTGAGCCACCCAGGTGCCCCAATAATTGAGTGGATTAGGCGAAAATACTCGTTGCAAAGTATTACAGCGATAGAATGTATCTGTTAATGTGAAATTATTGAATCCTGTTCTCTTTCGTATTGTTAGATGTGTAGTCAAATATTTCCAAGCCACTTGTCATGAGAATTTCTCAATTCACTGGTAAGTTCAGCAAATGTTCTGTCATTTTGCAGAGAGCCTGGACCTAGTGTGCTGGCTACTGAGAAAGGGGTGAGGAAGATGTTGCCCTGCCCTTTTCCAGGTCTCAGACAAGTGGACTGGGCTGTGCTCACCTCCTAGATGATGCGATGAAGCAGCTGATGGTCTCTTCTCTCCTCTGCTCTAGTCGGCATTGGCCTGGGCCCGAGCCTCTGCTCGCTGCCTGAATTTTAACAGCATGCTGATCTTGCTTCCTGTGTGTCGAAATCTGCTGTCCTTCCTGAGGGGCACCTGCTCAGTGAGTTCCAACCACTCCTAGGTCAACTTTCACATTAAAGACAAGAGACCCTGAACTCTTCAGTGGGACAGCCCAATATCTTCAAACCCCTAGGAATGGAAGCCAGGGATCTCCTTTGGTAGCCAAGGGGGTAGGCAAGTATTGGTGTGGGGGTGGGTATTGGTATGCTTTGTTTAAGACATGCTGGTTATGGGTTGCTGAATTTTATCAACTGCCCGGAGACACCGGACCTTGATCACATTCCATTTGTAGTTCTGCAGGTGCACCCTGAGAAAGCAACTGGATCACAACCTCACCTTCCACAAGCTGGTAGCATATATGATCTGCCTACACACAGGTAACTGAGGCAAACCACAAAACTGCAAGCTCATGAGCATTCAGAATATAGTTTCATTGACCTCTGCGTTTAGATATTCAAAAAGTATTTATTGAACACCTGGCACTATGTGCCAGGCACTGTTGTAGGCCTATTTTCTTTCTTTCTTTCTTTTTTTTTTTTTAAAGATTTTATTTATTTATTTGACAGAGAGTGAGAGAGCGCAAGCAGGGGGAGCAGGCTGAGCAAGGAGCCCGATGCGGGGCTTGATCCCAGGACCTGAGCCGAAGGCAGACCCTTAACTGACTGAGCCACCCGGGCACCCCTGTAGGCCTATTTTCATGGAACTTATATTCGATTCATTTGGGAACAGAATGAGAATACAAAAAATCTTGGTTCTCTCTGCAATCAAGATTTATCAGGCACCTTCCATGGACTGAGCATTCTGCTAGACACTATCCACAGGATTCTCCTTTGCTAGTGGGGCATGCCTGCAGTGAGGTTTCTGAGACACCTTTCAATTCCCCGTCGTCTTTCTTTTTTTGTTGTTGTTGATATAACTATATTTTATTTATTTTTATTTTTTTAATTTAATCTTATTATGTTATGTTAGTCACCATACATTACATCATTAGTTTTTGATGTGGTGATCCACGATCCATTGTTTTCGTATAACACCCAGTGCTCAGTGCAATACGTGCCCCATCGTCTTTCCATTTAGCTATTCACATCATTGCACACCTGTTCAACTTTGAACACTACAGCAGAAGCCGACAGGACACAGATGGATCCCTTGCCTCCATTCTCTCCACCCTATCTCATCAAGAGAAAGGGGAAGGTTCGTGGCTAAATCCTATCCAGTCCCCAAACATGGTGAGTTGACTCAATGGCAAAGCGTCGGCGATCTGGTCACGAGTATGGAAGGGCATGGTGTGTCTGGCACCCACTGTGTCAGGCTGAAATTTCTCCTTTCGTAGACAGTGGAGTATCTGACATTTACCAGCATTGCTGGTCTCACCGGAGTGATCATCACAATAGCTCTGGTTCTCATGGTGACTTCAGCTATGGAGTTCATCCGGAGGAGTTATTTTGAGGTCTTCTGGTACACACACCATATTTTTATCATCTACTTCATTGGTTTAGGGATTCACGGCATTGGGTAAGGTCCTCGAACCCTCATTCTCATGCCCCAGCCCCTGACCTTGCATAATTCTTTGCCTCCAACTGTCCTTCTTTGTCTGTCTCAGTGGAATTGTCCGGGGTCAAACAGAAGAGAGCCTGAATGAGAGTCATCCTCACAGGTGTGCAGAATCTTTCAAGCACTGGGATGATCATGACTCCCACTGCAAGCATCCCCGATTTGAAGGGCTCCCCGCTGAGGTAAGAACCCCAGAGACAAGGATAGACTCTACTTAGGAGCTGTTATTGCTACTGTTGTTATTATTACTCTTATTATTGTTCCTGTTACTAGTTCAGTGCTGTGCTGAGTCCAATGGAGGATATATTCACAAGGCTCCTTCCATCAAGGAACTCCATTATTCCTGGCAACAGGCCAGGGAATTACCATTAGCAGGGGATCCTGAAGAGGAAGGACTAATGGTTATTGCATGTTGTGAGACCCTATCTAAAAGTAATAATGATACCTCACATTATTAATAGTGTTTACCATGGGACAGGTTTGCTGTGTAATATGGATTATCTCATTTATACATAGCAATAATCGATGAGGTAGGTATTTTTTGGTCTCCATTGTGAGACAATAGGACTAGGATTCAAAGAAATTCAACTGTCAGGCTCTCACAGTAAGTAACTAGTGGAACTGAAATTCAAGCCCAGGCTTTTCAGATTCCAAAGACTGCGCTCTTAACCACTGAAATCCAGTCAATTTTCTTGGGGGGAAGAAATGCATTCTTTTCCCCCCAGCTTTATTGAAGTACAATTGACAAATAAAATTGTATATATTTGAAGCATACAATGTGGTGAGTGACACATGCATACTTTGTGAAATGATCACCATAATAAGATTAATTAACACATCCATCACCTCACAGTTACCATTTTGTGTGTGTGGTGAGAATGCTTAAGATCTACTCTTTGAGCAAATTTCAAGTATGCTATACAGTATTATCAACTGCAGTCACCATGCTTTACATTAGATCCCCAGAGCTTATTCATCTTATGACTGAAGTCACATACCCTTTGACCAGCATTTTTCCATCACTTCCCCACCTCCCATCCCAGACCCTGGTTACCCACCTTCCTAGTCTCTGTTTCTATAAGTTCAATTTCTTTTTTTTTAAAGCATTCTCGAAGTCAGTTTTCTTTGGTGTTATAAGAACATGCTTGGAAATTATTATTAAATAGTGGACAACCAAGAAACTGGGTTCCAGGGAACTCAAGGTGTGCCTTGGGATAATTATTGTGGATATCATGGTTTACCTTTACATGCTCATAACATATGTTAGATGGAGGAATAAATGGAAGGGAAAGGTAAACTTGTGGTGTCTCAGAGTGCTCTGGGGGTGATTAAAATCTTTAAATCAGTTGCAGAATTAAGAGCACTATCTTGATCCTCATCAAAAATGGGAATAATATCTTTTAAAAATCCCCTAAAGTTGGCATTTCAAATCAGTTGAGAAAAATATATATCATTCAACAATTTTTTAGAACAATAGGTTATCCATCCAGGAAGAAAAGCTGAATCTTGATTCCACATTTTACACTAAAATATGAATCAGGAATGCATGGATCAAGGATTTAAGTGTTAAAGAAAGGAAAGAAATCATAAAAGCATCCTAAGACCATCTGGTAAATTTTTTTCTAATACCGGAGGATTAGCAAAAAATTCCCTCAATAAGATTTAAAAAGACCTTGAAGTCAGAAAATAAAATAAAATAAATTTGAATAAATATATATTGAAATGTGTTCTATATAAATTTTTAAGTTTTTATTTAAATTCTAGTTATTTAATGTACAGTGTAATATTAGTTTCAAATGTACAATTTAGTGATTCAACACTTCCATACAACACCTGGTGCTCATCACAAGTGCACTCCTTGATCCCCATGTCCATTTCACCCATCCCCTCACCCACCTCCCCTCTGGTAACCATCAGTTTGTTCTTAGAGTTAAGAGTGTGTTTCTTGGTTTGCCTCTCTCTCTCTTCTTTTTGCTATGCTCATTTGCTTTGTTCTTAAATTGTACATGTGAGTGAACTCATATGGTATTTGTCTTTCTGTGACTGACTTATTTCGCTTAGCATAATGCTCTCTAGCTCCATGTTGTTGCAAATGGCAAGATTTCATTCTTTTTTATGGCTGACTAATATTCCTATATATATATATATACCACTTCTTCTTTATCCATTCATCAGTCGATGGACATTTGGGCTCTTTCCATAATTTGGCTATTGTGGATGGTGCTGTTATAAACATCGGGGTGCATGTATCCCTTTGAATTAGTATTTCTGTATCCTTTGGGTAAATACCTAGTGCAATTGCTGGATCATAAGGTAGTTCTATTTTTAACTTTTTGAGGAACCTCCATACTGTTTTCCAGAGTGGCTGCACCAGTTTGCATTACCACCAACAGTGCAAGAGGGATCCATCCCTTTTCTCTGCATTCTTGCCAACATCTATTGTTTCCTGCGTTGTTAATTTTAGCCATTCTAACTGGTCTAAGGTGATGTCTCATTGTAGTTTTGATTTGCATTTCTCTGATGATGAGTGATGTTGAGCAACTTTTCATGTGTCTATTGGCCATCTATGTGTCTTCTTTGGAAAAATGTCTATTCTGTCTTCTGCCCATTTTTTAACTGCATTATTTGGTTTTTGGGTGTTGAGTTTGATGAGTTCTTAATATACTTCGGAAACTAACCCTTCATCAGACATGTCATTAGCAAATACCTTCTCCCATTCTGGAGGCTGCCTTTTAGTTTTGATGATTGTTTCCTTTGCTGTGCAGAAGCTTTTTATTTTGATGTAGTCCTAATAGTTTATTTTTACTTTTATTTCCCTTACCTCAGAAGACATATCTAGAGAAATGTTGCTATAGCCGAAGTCAGAGAAATTACTGCCTATGGTCTATTCTAGGATTTGTATGGTTTCATTTAGGTCTTTTATCCATTTTTGAGTTTATTTCTGTGGATGGTATAAGAAAGTGGTCCAGTTTCATTCTTTCGCATGTTGTTGTCCAGTTTTCCCAACACCATTTGTCAGAGAGACGGTCTTTTTCCCATTGGATATTCTTTCCTACTTTGTTGAAGATTAATTGATGATACAGTTGTGGGTTCATTTCTGGGTTTTAAAATTCTATTCCATTGATCTATGTGTCTATTTTTGTGCCAGTATCATACTGTTTTATTTATTTATTTATTTATTTATTTATTTATTTATATTTTTTATACTGTTTTGAATACTACAGCTTTTTTTTTTTAAGATTTTATTTATTTATTTTGAGAGAGAGAATGAGATAGAGTGAGCATGAGAGGGGGGAGGGTCAGAGGGAGAAGCAGACTCCCTGCTGAGCAGGGAGCCCGATGCGGGACTCGATCCCAGGACTCCAGGATCATGACCTGAGCCGAAGGCAGTCGCTTAACCAACTGAGCTACCCAGGTGCCCTGAATACTACAGCTTTCTAACATAAATCTGGAATTGAAGACTGGAATTGTGATACCTCCAGTTTTGTTTTCTTTTTCCAGATTGCTTTGACTATTTGGGGTCTTCTGTGGTTCCACATAAATTTTAGGATTGTTCTAGTTCTGTGAAAAATGCTGTTGGTATTTTGATAAGGATTGCATTAAATCTGCAGATTTCTATGGGTCATACACACATTTTAACAGTATTTGTCTTCCAATCCATGAGCATGGAATATCTTTCCATTTCTTTGTGTCATCTTCAATTTCTTTCATCAACGCTTTATGGTTTTCAGAGTACAGTCTTTCACCTCTTTGGTTAATTTTATTCTTAGTTATTTTATTATTTTTGGTGTAATAGTAAATGGTGTTGCTTTCTTAATTTCTCTTTCTGTGGCTTCACTGAAACATTTGTTTTTAAAAAGCTCTATGGTATACCATTTTTGTCAATTTTTTAATGTGATCATTTTTAATGACCTGAGGGCATTATGCAAAGTGAAATAAGTCAGATGGAAAAAGACAAATACTGTATGATCTCACTGTATGTAGAATCTTACTTTAATGAACCTAACTCATAGATATGGAGAACATATTGGTGGTTTCCAGAGGCAGGGGGTTCGGGGAGTGGGCAAAATGAGTGAAGGTGGTCAAAAGGTACAAACTTCCAGTTATAAAATAAATAAGTCATGGGTATGTCATGTACAGCATGGAAACTGTAGTTAATAATACTGTATTGCACATTTCAAATTTGCTAAGATAGTAGATATTAAAAGTTCTCAGCACAAGAAAAAAATTTTTGCAACGATGTATGGTGACGGATATTAACTATACTTATTGTGATCATTTTGCAATATATACAAATATTGAATCATTATGGTATATACCTGAAACTAATGTAATGCTATATGTCAATTATATCTCAATACAAAAAAATGAAATAAAAATAAAAATTAAAAAAACACATTTGGGTATTGGCAAAAAAATCTGTGTGGTATACCATTTTTGTCATTTTTTTCTTAGTAAATAATAGGGCCATTCCTATACTCGTATACTTTGTGCACACCTTAATTATATCTTTATGCTCCATTTCCTAGAAGTGAAATTTCTGGGTCAAATAGAAGGAATGCTTTTAAGGCTGTTGGGATGTATTACCAAATTGCTCTCTGGGAAGATGCTACTAATTTGTCCCTCCACTGACTGCATATGTGAATGTGCCCATCTCCCTGCATCCCAGTTAATGGTGGGCATTATTGTTTAATGTTGTTTTCCAATCTGAGAGGCTAGAGTGTTATTTTGGTTTAATATTCATTTCTCTGATTACTTCTGAGGTCAAAATTTTTTTTGCCACGTTGTTATTAGCCATTTCTTAAATATATTTTTTGTGTGTTTTCTCTGAAGACATGGAGAATTTTTTTCCAAATCAGGAGTAGCATCAAATTGTATAATACCCACTCTCAAGTTCACCTGCCACATCTCTGCCCCTTTCCTCCCTGGAGATACCCAAGGAAGTTGTTTGCCTGAAACAGCATAAGAAACCTCATTCCACACAGTTCTGATGTTTCACGCTGAAGCAATTTTGCAAGAAAGGACATGACTTAGCATTGCTAGGAAATACATTTTTAGTAGCTCCTGTGCATATTGGAGCAACCTGCTACCTTTGAGAGGATCTCAGGGATAGAAAGACTGCTTTTAAAAAAAATGTAGAGAAGATAAAAAGTATAGTACTATGTTAGGTGTTTTGAGCACCTGAGAAAAGATGTGATGGATAAATAGTGTCAGCCATGGGCTTTCTCTTCTTTGTTAGTTTTGCTTTTATTTTATTTTTTTTTTTAAAGATTTTTATTTATTTATTTGAGAGAGAGAGAATGAGAGAAAGCACATGAGAGGGGGGAGGGTCAGAGGGAAGAGCAGACCCCCCGCCGAGCAGGGAGTCCGATGCGGGACTCGATCCCGGGACTCCAGGATCATGACCTGAGCCGAAGGCAGTCGCTCAACCAACTGAGCCACCCAGGCGCCCTGTTAGTTTTGCTTTTAATCATCTGCTTCTCTCTTGGTTTTTCAGTTTGGACAAATTGTACTGGAAGACTGTCTTGGAGTCTTAAAATTAAAATGTATATATAATTTAAGAATATATATAATATACATTATATGTATAATTACCACATATTTTATTTTTGTGTTTTTCTTTGCTTCCTAGTGAGACTTGTAAAACTTCAGGAAATGATCTGCTTTATGAGTAACAGATTAGCAAACAAAACCATTATAATTTATTCCTTTCCATTTCCGTCTGTGAGATCTGGCGAAATTAGTGGCTTAATAATGATACACATCAGAGAACTTGATAAATATTATTGAATGAAGAAATGAACTGCTACACATATAAATCTTCAACAGGAGATTAATATGTAACCTCACTCTTGTTTCTCTGTGCAGTCTTGCAAGTGGATCCTTGCACCAGGGGTTCTTTATATCTTTGAACGGATTCTCCGATTTTACCGCTCGCAGCAGAAGGTCGTGATTACCAAGGTAAAGAATATGCACTTTCCAGGGATCCTGGCTGACTCAGTGGGAGGAATGTGTGACTCTTTTTTTTTTTTTTTTTTAAGATTTTATTTATTTGACAGAGAGAGACACAGCGAGAGAGGAAACACAAGCAGGGGGAGCGGGAGAGGGAGAAGCAGGCCTCCCGCGGAGCTGGGAGCCCGATGCGGGGCTCGATCCCAGGACCCTGGGATCATGACCTGAGCCGAAGGCAGACGCTTAACGACTGAGCCACCCAGGCGCCCCGGAATGTGTGACTCTTGATGTTGGGGCCATGAGTTCAAGTTCCACATGGGGTGTAGAGATTACTTTAAAAAAAAAAAAAAAAACTTTAAAAAAGAATATGCACTTCCGGGCACCTGGGTGTCTCAGTTGGTTAAGCGTCTGCCTTTGGCTCAGGTCATGATCCCAGGGTCCTGAGATCGAGCCCCATGTTGGGCTCCCTGCTCAGCGGGGAGCCTGCTTCTCCCTCTCCTCCTGGCTTGTGCTCTCTCTCGCTATCTCTGTCACTATCTGTCTGTCTCTCTCTCAAATAAATAAATACAATCTTTAAAAAAAAAAAGAATATGCACTTGGGGCACATGGGTGATGAAGTCGGTTAAGAGTTCGACTTCTGGGGGCGCCTGGGTGGCTCAGTCGTTAAGCGTCTGCCTTCGGCTCAGGTCATGATCCCAGGGTCCTGGGATCGAGCCCCGCATCGGGC